TCTGAGTCTGTGGCTTTCCTATGCTTGTTTCTTGCTGCACGCTTTGCTAGGCATGACTGGGCGCTGGAGAATAGACAATGCTGTTCGCCAAGGTTGGCAGCAAGACATGGGCGCGTGCCCAAGAAGCAGCGTACTTTGCCTGCTGCGCCAGTTCCTGCTGAACAGCTGCTGCACCAGCGCCAGGTTGACGAACGTTTCTCGTTTATAGGGCCTGCTCCGCCTGACGGGGCTTGGACTATCAAACTTCTTTTTTCGCTAGAAGGGCGGCACTTTGGGTGGCAGCTGCAACCTCTGTGGTCGACAGCGGGGTGATTTGCAAAGAAAACTACCATGAATTCTTCATTTTCTGATGCCTCGCAAGGAGTGGCTGGACCCCCTGAAAATCCAAACATCGACGCCAGAAAGAACCAGTCATTGAAAATGTTTGACTGCAGTGTTGTGACCTGCACTGCAATCAGCGCTTGTTAGGGTTGCGCGCGCGCAATTGAAAGTGCTGTACTTTCTTGTGGCCGCGGTCGGCCCTGGCTTACCGCATCATGAAGATGATAAGGATGATGACCGTGATGATAACTATCGTCGTAGCATCCTTTGCATTACCAATGCTGCCTAACGCCACTTCATGATGATGATGGCAAAGATGATGATAAGTGATGATTGCCATGATGCTGATAATGAAGATGATGACTGTGATGATGATAAAGATGACGACTGTCGTGATAACTATCATCGTAGCATCCTCCTCTGCATTACCAATGCTGCCAATGATGACTGTGATGATAACTATCATAGCATCCTCTGCATCACCAATGCAGCCTAATAAGAAATGATGATGACCATGATGATAATGATGAGACTGATGGTAAGGATGAGGATTGTCATAGTAACTATCATCGTAGCATCCTCTGCATCACCAATGCTGCCTAACGCCACACTTGAAATGTATATAAGAATAAGAAAGAGATGATGATGACCATCATCGCAGCTTCCTCTGCATCACCAATGGTGCCTGACGCCGCACTTGAAACGTAGATAAGAATAAGAAGGAGGTGATGGTGACCATCATGATGATGATGAGAAGAGTGATGATGATGATGACTGTGATGATAACTATCATCGTAGCACCCTCTGCACCACCAATGCTGCCTAATCAGAGATGATGACGACGATGAGGATAACCATGATAAGGATGAGTTCTGTAATGGTAACTATTATTGTAGCATCCTTTGCATCACCGATGCTGCCTAATAAGAGACGATGATGAACATGATGACAATGATGATAAGGATGAGGGTTGTGATGATAACTATCATCGTCCTCTGCATCACCCATGGTGCCTAACACCACACGTGAAATGTATATAAGAATAGGAATGATGATGGCCATCATGATGATGATGAGAAGGGTGATGATGATGATGACCGTGATGATGATGATGACAAGGATGGTGATGATGAGGATGATGATGATGATGACTGTGGTGATAACTATCATCGTAGCATCCTCTGCATCACCACTGCTGCCTAATAAGGGATGATGATGACCATGATGATAATGATGATAATGATGATGAGGATGAAGACTGATGATAACTATTCTTGTAGCATCCTTTGCATCAATGCTGCCTAATAGGAGATGATGATGACCATGATGAGAATGATGAGAAGGATGAGGATTGTGACAATAACTATCATCGTAGCACCCTCTGCATCACCAATGCTGCCTAACGCCAGAATTGAAATGTATATAAGAATAAGAGATGGTGCTGATGACAACGGTAACGATGATGATGATGATGAGAATGATTACAAGGAAGATGATGACAAGTGTTATCGTAGCATCCCCTGCATTTCCAACAGTGTCGCCCTTGCCTGAATCTTTCGTCGTTTTGTCCTTGGATTTGCTTGCCTCTTCCCTTTTTGGCGCCAAGCTTGTTTGCCTTTCTTGCCCCAATAGGATTGATCGGTGGTGGCCTCGTCGGCCATGTGGGCCTTGTCTCCTGATTCTGGTTTTCTGGTGGTGTCGCCCCTTGCCGCACTTAAGAGTCCGAGGTTGAAATCTTTTGAAAAAACAAGCATCGTGGTGCTCCAGCTGTCAAAAAAGCTTCTTCGTCGTCTAATGGTCAAAAACCCTCTGCACCATTGGTCAGGGATAGACAAGGTCTCGGATCTGCCTCCGCTTGGACGGATATGTGGATGCTGAAGATGGAAATATTGAAAAGGTCATACTACTGGGCCTTAATGGTCCCATATGTATACTGAGGAAACTGTTTACCTCTAAGGGTCAATGAAGATTCCAATCGTTCTCGTTGGCCTTCTGACAGATAACTCTGCATGATGAAGAACAATGTAAACATGTTGTCTGACAGTGGAAAAGCCTGTGAATGCTCTAGTCCCTTACCTCGCGCAAACCTTTCAAAGTTTTCCAGTTGCGCAGCATCGAGGTAAGTTGGGTTGGGCGCGATGGGTGCTGCGGCCTCACATGGTAACTTTCATCGATATCCTAGAACAAGGACAAGTTCCGAATTTGCTCAGCATTGGTCAGATGCAGAACCCTCACATGACGATTGAGCACACTGCATTCGGTATGATTCGACAAGTATCCAGTAGCGGTCATGCAAGGGTTGATCTCGCAGCCTTTTGCAAACAACACGACGGGACGGCAAATAAAGCCTTCGACGACGACAAGATCAACCCCATCGCACACCCATCACTGCTAGCCGCAGCATATCCAGCCGAAGCAGCATCAAAGGAACCCATAGTTCCTGCACCGGCACGGCGACAGAGACGAGCGAAACGATCGGTCATGTCAACCACGACCACTGGATATCCAATCGCGCCACCAAGGAACTCCATAGAGTTCAGTTGCCTAAAAAAAGTTTGCGCCTGACACAAGCAAAACTTGTCCAATATCGCACACACAAATCTACAACCAAAGAGCAACTAAAAGATTCCAGGCAGAGACAAAAGAACCGGTTATCTTCGGTAGAAGATAGTTGGCGAGTCAAGGCAACATCGCCGAGAACAACTCCAGAGTGATCCACAATCTTCAAGTTCTCTGACAAACCACTTAACTATCATCATGATGATGATGACTGTGATGATAACTATCATCGTAGCATCGTCTGCGTCACCAATGCTGCCTAATCAGAGATGAGCGTCACCAATGCTGCCTAATCAGAGGTGAGGACGACCGCGATGATAATGATGAAAGCCGCGTCCAGCCTTTGAGATCTATGTAAGAAAGAGGTAGTCATGACCATCATCGATAACAACAATGATGATGAAGCGCCAGCGCCACCAGCATCACCAGTGAAACAAATCTGACTCATCCGACCACTTGCGGAAGTGGTCGGATGGATCGGCCCGAACAACATCCCCAGCAACGCCTGTAGCAGCAGATTACCGACTGTGATGATAACTATCATCGTAGCGTCCTCTGCATCACCAATACTGCCTAATCAGAGATGATGACGTCCATGATGATATTGATGATAAGGATGATGAGGATGAAGACTGATGATAACTATTATTGTAGCATCCTCTGCATCAGCAATGCTGCCCAATAAGAGACGATGATGACCATGATGAGACTGAGAATGATGATAAGGATGAGGGTTGTGACAATAACTATCATCGTAGCATCCTCTGCATCACCAACGCTGCCTACCGCCACACTTGAAACGTATATAGGAATAATAATGATGATGATGATAAGTATCATCGTAGCGTCCCCTGCATCTCCAACGAAGATGATGATAAGTGTCATCGTAGCATCCCCTGCATCTCCAACTGTGCCTAACGTGACTTTGGAAATCTGTATAAGAAAAGACGGATGCTGATGACCGTCATGATGACTGTAAGGATGCTGGTGATGAAGGATGATGATGATGATGACAACAATGATGGTGATGATGACGAGCAGCGCCAGCACCACCAGCATCACCAGTGAAACAAATCTGACTCATCCGACCACTTGCGGAAGCGGTCGGATGGAGCGCCCCGAGCAACATCTCCAGAGACGCCTGTGTCAGCAGATGACGACTGTGATGATAACTATCACCGTAGCATCCTCTGCGTCACCAATGCTGCCTAATCAGAGATGAGCGTCACCAATGCTGCCTAATCAGAGATGAGGACGACCACGATGATAATGATGAAAGCCACGTCCAGCCTTTGAGATCTATGTAAGAAAGAGGTAGTCATGACCATCATCGATGACAACAATGATGATGATGATGAGCAGCGCCAGCGCCACCAGCATCACCAGTGAAACAAATCTGACTCATCCGACCACTTGCGGAAGTGGTCGGATGGATCGGCCCGAACAACATCCCCAGCAACGCCTGTAGCAGCAGATTACCGACTGTGATGATAACTATCATCGTAGCGTCCTCTGCATCACCAATACTGCCTAATCAGAGACGATGACGACCATGATGATAATGATGAAAGCCACATCCAGCCTTTGACATGTGTATAAGAAAGAGCTAGTCATGACCACCACGACCACTACACAGCCCCAGCACCAACAGGACTGATGATGAGATTCCCAGCGTCTGTAGCAGTGATGCTGGTCGTCGATCACCCTTCCCGTGCGCCTCCCCCTTTGAGGAGAAGGGGTCGGCGGACTTCTTTTAATTTTTTACAGTTGGTTCTAGTTATCTTAGACACACAATTCCTACTTTTGCTAACCTTGACTAGAAGCCCTCGTATACTAATTAGCAAGACGACAAAGATTCGATATTGTCCGGCTCAGTCTATGGCAGGGCGGCGTGGGTAGTGTTAAAGTTTCTACCCAGAAGGGCAGACCTGAGAAGCTGCTGGGTTTAGGCTTGAGGGCTGGAGGGGAAGACACGAGGCCCACTGGGAAAGAACTGCAACCTTTTGGCGGGGTTGTTGCCTTGTTTTGCACAGGGCCTGTGGCCGTCAAGAGTTCGTCGCGCTTGCCGAAAAAATCGTAAGACCGGTGATGTTGAAACCAGCTGCGACCTGTGACGCCAGGAGCGAGACGTTCGCGCAAGACGCGCGCAACGAATCCGAGCCTGGGCAGGCTGCTTCTGTCGCACTGAGGCCGTCTCATGTTGAACCCCAAGGTTTATAAAGAACCGTTCCATCATCTTGGGCGGAGCAGAGCTGCGTTGCGTGAACTGTGGCTGCGGTAACGCAGGATTGTTGTTGGGGAATTGGGGATGGAAGTGCTGTCAAGAACACAGGTTGAGTTGCAACACAGACTTGCGCTTGCGTTTTGCGGCCGCCATTCAGTCTTTCACACCCATGCGAAGACACACAGCTTGTCTTTCACATTTCTCTGCTTGCGCCACGAAATCCAGAAAAAGCAAGAAGTAAGCCGCACGCCCTTGCAGCGTGTAGAAGATAGGATGATGGCTGCCGTGTCACGGCAGAAAAGAAGGCGTGTGACAAAGACTGGGGTTATTTGGACCACCAAAACGCATTTCCTGACATTCAGGCAACGTTCGAAACTCGAAACTTGCGCGGAAGGAAGGGGTTGTGTGGGATCCTTACAGGTGGGTGAGCTTCTGCTGCTGCAACCTGCGCCCCGTTGATCCATCATGCCACGGCTTCTAGAGCCTAAATACAAGTAGGGAGTGTTTGCAGTCGCCTGTCGTTCTTGCCAAGGCGAAAGTGAGCTGACACTGAAGGTATTTCCTTGGAACGGTCAAGAGCTTGAAAGGCTTAAGACGGAGACAGCGTGCTGGCTGGGTCTGTGGACTGAGCGAGGGCATTTTGCCTCCGGCCCCGAATCTGAGACATGTCGCCAACGCGCCAGAGGTTTGCTTCAAAATGTCGGCTTGCCTTTAAAACGACACCCGATGTTTGTGCAAGGTTAACACAGAGAGCGCAACGTGACCTCGGATGCAGCTTGGCCTGGCTCGACCGCGCGAGCGTCAAAAAGCAGAGGGCTGGACGCCCCAAATTGCACTTCTTACGCTGAACCTATGGGAAGAGAGGACCATTTTGCAGCAGCTGTTTTGCAGGAGCTGTTTTGTTTATGCACGGGTGGCTGTATCGCTTTGGTGGTTTTGGTGTTTGCGTGGCTTTGGCCTTCCACGCTCTCTGGATTCCGTGTCTTGCCACCGTTGAACTTATGATGGGCAATTGTCCGACCAATTAAAACACATAAGCACGCAAAACACAAATACATCCGGAGAAACATCCCGGATTCCAAAGTCAACGGGCGCATGCCAGGAGGAGTCCAACACGGAGACAGCGCACACACAACAACCTTTTCCCAGCACCAGCGCCAGGTCACTAGCAACAGCCCCCGGCCTTTGTATCAATATTGAAATTGGAGGCTGCTGGCCGTCTGTCCTCAAATTTGTGTATTTTGAAGTTGGAGGCATTGTCCTTACATTGCAATTTCGAACTTGGGGGCCCCGGCCGGCGCAAGCTGTTTTTTGCAATTGCATCTGTATTTCAACACTGGGGGGGGTCCCTGGACAAGCTATTTCATGTGTCTTGGTTTGTGTTTCATTTCGCATTCCATGTTGTATTCCATTTTGTGTTATATCTGTATTTTGTTTGAAAGTTTTGGGGCTGAGGGTGGGTTGAGGTTGGTTCAGAGTTGGTTTCAAAATGGTGCGTTGCGTGTGGGATGGTTCTTATGGTTGGCTTGGATGCGTTGAAGGTCTCTGTAAAGGTTCCTCACGGTCGGTTGGGCAGGCTGTGGGAGGGCTTACGCTGTTGTTTAGTGTTGAGGGTTTGGCTCAAGGTGGTTTAACTTTATGATGGGCAAGCCTAGGCAAACACTGCAAACATAAGTTCTATAAAAGGTTCCAAGCTTCCGGGAACAGGCAGAAAAGTTGGAAAAGCGCAAATACAATGTAAGGACAATTCCAACTTCAAATTGCACAATCTGAAGACATACGGCCAGCAGCCTCCAATTTCAATATTGGCACAAAGGCCGGGGTCCAAGTAGCGTTGCTGAGGAGCCAAACGCAATGTTTACCTCAACTCTAGTGACCTAGGGCTAGTGCTGGGAAAGGTTGTGACCTAAAACTTGTCTTGATTCCTGTCGCAAAGCCCAGCAAGTCACATATGCGTGCGCGTGTGGATGTCTCTGTGTTGGACTCGCTCCCGGCATGTGGTCGAAGTCGGTTTGCAGGGAGGCTTGTATTTGCGCAACAAGGTGTGCCCACTTTGTACTTTGGATTCCGGGGTGTTTCTCTGGGTGTATTTTTGGTCAGTGCTAAGCCTAACCAACCCTAAACCCTACGCAACGTAAACCCGCCAGCAACCCGCCGCGAGGGAACTTTTAAAGAAGCCTCCAACGCGTCAAAGCCAATCGTAAAACCACCCCAACCGCTCGAAACAAGCAATGAACACGCAACATTTCACCTTGAAATCAACGCGGAACCTACCCTCAGCCCCAAAGCTCTTTCGCGGGTCACCGATTTCGTGGCAGGCGCGTTGCGCCTGCTAGGGCACAACGCTTTCGCAAGGTCAAGCGCGTGTTTCGCAGCGGCCGCAGCACTTTCAGGTACAGATTTCCCAGCAGGAGCAGCGCTTTCGCACATCAGGTGCAGAACTCGTGGTCGCAAGGTGTGGCAGGCGCCGAGTTTCGAGACAATCTGGCCCTGGGGGCCCCGAGGGTGTTGCGCAAAATCCACACCTCACTTCGCCAAAGTGCTGCCTGGCACGAAATCTGTACTTGACCTTGACAAAGTGCTGCGCCTGCCACGAAACTCGTACCAGACGCTGTGAAAGTGCTGCGCCTAGCGCGCAAAACTAGCGTGGCGAAAAGCACGGGCCCTTGCCATGGGGCCCACGCTCCATGACTGGTCCGAGATCGCTCTGCCCCAAGCGCGCCCAAGCACCAAAAACCGGAGAGCGCTACGCCTTCTTCGCACTTCTATTTACCCGCCGTGCGCGCTTGATACTTGTTTCCGCTTTTCTCCGTTTATCTTCTTTTAGTTGCAGTAGCACGAACAGAAGTTCCTTTTAAACTTTGTTTGGCTACCTGTTCTTGTACCAGCCCTACGACTACTGCTACTGCATTTGTGGCCTCACTAAGTATGGTTAACTTATGTATTCTTAGCTTTGCGCTTACACGCACACTCGTGGTTTTGTGTTTTTCGGTATGATTCGGGAGCATGCTTCGGGGGTATGACGGGTATGATTCAGGGTACCAGGTATGAGCTCTGAAGAGCAGAAGTTCCTAGAAAAGACGCGCCCGTAGGAAAAGAAAAACCACCCCTCTTGCTCTCTTTGCTTCTCTCATTCTTTGCTCCCTATCTCTATATCTTGCTTTGTTTCTTTTTTGGTTTCTTGCTTTTCTTTCTTTACTTCATTTCTTTCTTTCCTTTTTTTATTTTTATTTTTTGTGTCTTTCTTTCTCTGTCTCTGTCTTGTATCGCTCTCTCTCTTTCTCTCTCTGTCTCTCTCTCTCTCTCTCTCTTTCCGTCCGATGTGTCTATCTAATTCGCTACCTATCAGCGCGTGACCTTGCGAAAGTGATGCGCCTGCCACGAAATTTGTACTTGACCTTGAGAAACGCTGCGCCTGCCACGAAATCTGTGCTCCACCTTGGGAAACCTGCCAGGAAATCTGTGCTCGGCCTTGCGAAAGTGCTGCGACTGCCACAAGTCTGCACCTCAGGGCACGAAAACCAGGCACCTGCCACGACATCGGCGTGCAGCGTCAACTTCGCTAACCGCGCGGCTCACACTCCCAGATCGCGCGCTTATCACCAATTCTGATGCCCATGGGAACAACATGCTGCGCTGCCACGATGTCTGCGCCTCGGGTTGTCAAAGCGCTGCGCCTGTCACTCAAAACACACCTCCGAAAGCCTGCGCGAGCATGACGTCGGGCAACTTGCCGAACCCGTGGCGAGTTCGTGGCGAACCCGTTGCGAAACCGTGCACAAAGTAGTATCCTTCGCTCTTCACATGTGGGAAACTCCCTCTCCTGTTGCGGAAGTTTTCCTACAAAACTTCCCTTGATGATTCGGGGTGTCCGCCGCAGTTAATTCAGAAGGAAACTATAGCTAGACTTGGTTACCGGTAAGGCCGGCGAAGCTGGTGGGCGGCAGTTTCAACATATAACAACTATAGTTCTATTTCTCCTTTCTTTTCTTGATATTTGTTTCTTTCCTTCAGTCTTTGCATTTCTTTCTACATTCTTTCTAACATTCTTTCTAAGTTTCTTTCCTTCTTCCTTCCTTCCTTCCTTCCTTCCTTCCTTGCTTGCTTGCTTGCTTGCTTCCTTCCTTCCTTCCTTCCTTCCTTCCTTCCTTGCTTTCTCTTGATCTTCCTCTTGCCGTGTCTCTTTTCTTCTTCTCTGTCTCTCGCCGTGTTTCTTTTTCTTTTTTCTTTCCCAACTTGCCCTTGCTTTGCTAGCACTCCTTCGCTCTCTATCTACTCCATCTGTTTGTTTATCTGTCTAGACACTTATTTACTTTCTCTTTCAAGTTCATTATTCAGCTATCCTTTTCTCTATCAACCTTGCTATCTGTCTATCTGCCTCTACGCTTCTTGGTTGTGTTTAGCTGAGTCTTGAGGTTTGCAATGCCCCTGCGGCACCGAAAGATAATGGCAATGCAAACAAGCTGATGCAGGAGCATAGTGCTCCTTTCTGCCTGACAGTGTTGTCCCGAATTCCCAGCGCAGATCTGCGTGTGTTTTCTTGATGTTCTTGGGAGAACATTGGCAGCGTTTGAGGATCGGTTGTTGGTTGCTATGGAAACCCATGTCAGCAATGGCCCAATGTTCATTTGACACCACCCTGGACTTCTTCCTAAACAAAACTACTTCATAGTCCAGCCATTTTTTTAAAACAAATCATGTGCTGTTCTAGGCCCCGGGTCCATGAACAAACCCTGGTTTATGTCAGACCAGGCCTTGGGCCTGTCAGGGTGTGATGTTGAGAAAAAACACCGCTGTGAGTATGATACCGGGAACAACCTGCTTCTTTCATCCCCCACCCCCATAGGGCCCGAAAATCAGGGGGACGTCTGAAGAAGCAATTTGCATTTCCCCCCCCTTCGCCCCCCCCCAAAAAAATGGTAAGGGCCCCACCCCAGATGCTCATATCTGTTTTTTGGGGGGGGCTAGAATGTAGCGAGAATCCTGGGCACGTCGAAAATTATTTTTTCTCCGCCCCACCCCACCCCCAAGGAAAAAATGCGAACAATCAAGGATTTTCGGATTTCCTTGCAAGCGCGACAGGGTGGGTCAGCGTTGAGAAAGGGGGGGAGGGGAAATGTAGCTTACATTTACTGGCCCCCCTTCCTTTTTTGCAGTTTTCCAGTTTGTTTAAATTTGTCTCATTGTGTTGCATGGCGGGGTATGGAAGGATACTGGCCACATGCCATGTGGCCACATGGGGTTGAGTAGTTCAGGACGAAAGCTGCCTAGCGCGCAGTGTCAGCCAACTTTGCTAGATGGCATGTGAGCGAGCCAGATAACGCAGGCGAGGCGGGCTTGGATTGGCTGACGTGCAGGAAAACATGGAAAACAGATGAAAATACAATACAATATCATACTTGATACTAGAAGAACCCTTCAGACCCCAATTGGAATGATTGCATTGTTTCGCATCAGGCCCAATTCCCTCAGGCTGCAAAATTACTAAATTTTCTAATTGATGGACTTACTGTAAA